TTAATAGCATTTCAGAACTAGGTATATTTCGTTTATGATGTGTCTTACTGACACCTAACAGTGGAAGGAATGCCTGAAGGATGTAAGTCATAGAGGTTTATCAGTTTGGGAAAACATAATTAAGAGGGTATTGTGAAAGCAAACCAAAGTATATAGAGCGACAGTAGCACTACTCTGTAACACCACAGGCCAATACCACCACGTCTCACCCTCCCCACACCCACATCTCCCCAGGAATATACTAGGCTGCTACACAAAAGACCTCAACGACTTTTCTGTAACACCATGGACCAATACCATCACGTCTCACCCTCCCCACACCCACATCTTCCCCCCAGGAATATACTAGGCTGCTACACAAAAGACCTCAACGACTTTTCTGTAACACCATAGACCAATACCATCACGTCTCACCCTCCCCACACCCACATCTTCCACAGGAATATACTAGGCTGCTACACAAAAGACCTCAACGACTTTTCTGTAACACCATGGGCCAATACCATCACGTCTCACCCTCCCCACACCCACATCTTCCACAGGAATATACTAGGCTGCTACACAAAAGACCTCAACGACTTTTCTGTAACACCATAGACCAATACCATCACGTCTCACTCACAAAGAGACCTCCCACACCCACATCTTCCACAGGAATATACTAGGCTGCTACACAAAAGACCTCAACGACTTTTCTGTAACACCATGGGCCAATACCATCACGTCTCACCCTCCCCACACCCACATTCTCCCCAGGAATATACTAGGCTGCTACACAAAAGACCTCAACGACTTTTCTGTAACACCATAGACCAATACCATCACGTCTCCCTCTCCCCACACCCACATCTTCCACAGGAATATACTAGGCTGCTACACAAAAGACCTCAACGACTTTTCTGTAACACCATAGACCAATACCATCACGTCTCCCTCTCCCCACACCATTCTCCCCAGGAATATACTAGGCTGCTACACAAAAGACCTCAACGACTTTTCTGTAACACCATAGACCAATACCATCACGTCTCACCCTCCCCACACCCAAAAGACCTCAACATCTTCCACAGGAATATACTAGGCTGCTACACAAAAAATATACCTCAACGACTTTTCTGTAACACCATAGACCAATACCATCACGTCTCACTCTCCCCACACCCATTCTTCCACAGGAATATACTAGGCTGCTACACAAAAGACCTCAACGACTTTTCTGTAACACCATAGACCAATACCATCACGTCTCACCCTCCCCACACCCACATCTCCCCAGGAATATACTAGGCTGCTACACAAAAGACCTCAACGACTTTTCTGTAACACCATAGACCAATACCATCACGTCTCACCCTCCCCACACCCACATCTCCCACAGGAATATACTAGGCTGCTACACAAAAGACCTCAACGACTTTTCTGTAACACCATAGACCAATACCATCACGTCTCACCCTCCCCACACCCTCATCTTCCACAGGAATATACTAGGCTGCTACACAAAAGACCTCAACGACTTTTCTGTAACACCATAGACCAATACCATCACGTCTCACCTCCCCACACCCACATTCTCCCCAGGAATATACTAGGCTGCTACACAAAAGACCTCAACGACTTTTCTGTAACACCATGGGCCAATACCATCACGTCTCACCCTCCCCACACCCACATCTTCCACAGGAATATACTAGGCTGCTACACAAAAGACCTCAACGACTTTTCTGTAACACCATGGGCCAATACCATCACGTCTCACCCTCCCCACCCCAACGACTTTTCTGCACCCACATCCACCCCAGGAATATACTAGGCTGCTACACAAAAGACCTTAATGACTTTTCGAATAACCCAATTTCCTTTATTTTCTTATCACTTAACCACCAAGAAACCCTCTTATTCCATACACTTCCTAGTTACATGAAATCAGCTTATGGGCTTCGTCACGAATGAGTCACATCGACACTAACTGAAACAACGGGTTAATGTAGCTTATATTTCTGATGGTCTTGACCTGAATAGTTAATGTTCATAAATTATGACCTGGTCTCCGTCCCAGGGCAGGCCATCAGCCCTGATCTCACCATTGTAGTTCACTAACTGCCAGTGTTGCGGATGCAAGCTCCCACAAGGGTCACACCTGTCTCAGGTAGTTAATCACCCATGATAGATTGCAACACCTGATATACCCTGTGGAGCCGCTACGTTACCTGTCTTAACTTACCTGACTTCATCTACTTGACTCCATTTACCTGACTTGATCCATTTGATAGTTATATGAGAATGTTGACAGAGGCGAACCATTACATTTAGCGTGTAAAGGGATACCTTGCTATTCTGGACGTAGAGTTGACATATTTCCGTATAAACGAGTGGCACACGGTATATTTGCAGTCGCCCCAAACAGTGATCGTCCGAAATATAGGGTGTCCGTATTACCGAGGTCCGGATTAATCAGGTGAAAGTTTCGCTGCAGTTGATTAGAGTGTGCGAATTACCTTACTGCTTATAGTCAATCAAACATAGGAGGCACTTATTCAGTGGGGACTGATTTCTGTTAAATCCAACCTGCTTGCTAAATAATTATTATGAAATAAGGGCATATCACTGATGTGTACAAAGGGATTCTGAATGTGACAAAGGAAGCAGAATTTGACCATCTTGGCACTGTGGTGCGGACAGACCATAATCAGTACTATTCTTTCCTTCGAACCCTGTATTAGCGGATCCTATCAAGACTCTGCACAAACAATCTTGACCACTATGAAGCTGAGGCTACCCATGCTTATTGTCTTTTCACAAACGTCACATTTATTACAGACAAATCAATGTCGGAAATGTTACGAAATCTAACAGTTGAATTACTTCCAAGAAGTACGTGCATATGTTCCTCCATGTTTTTCAAATCTCGTGTTTGTATGATATATGCATACAATGGAAACTAGAGAACGTATTACCATAATTTGCGAAATTAACTGTCCTTTAACAACCGATGGAAATCTATGAAGAACGTTTTGTATTATATTTATTTCATTGAAGCTATGTATAAATGCTCCAATGCCAGATTAAGCTGTATGTCGACACAGGCGGTACCCTATAGCTAGATGTTCCCATACTAGACTAATATGTATGTCGACACAGACAGTACCCTATAGCTAGATGCTCCCATGCTAGACTAAACTGTATATAGACTCAGGCAGTACCTTATATCTAGATGTTCCCATGCTAGACTAAACTGTATGTCGACACAACCAGTACCCTATATCTAGATGTTCCCTATGCTAGACTAAACTGTATGTCGACACAAGCCAGTACCCTATATCTAGATGTTCCCATGCTAGACTAAACTGTATGTCGACACAGACAGTACCCCATAGCTAGATGCTCCCATGCTAGACTAAACTGTATATAGACTCAGGCAGTACCTTATATCTAGATGTTCCCATGCTAGACTAAACTGTATGTCGACACAACCAGTACCCTACATCTAGATGTTCCCTTGCTAGACTAAACTGTATGTCGACACAACCAGTACCCTATAGCTAGATGTTCCCATGCTAGACTAAACTGTATGTCGACACAGACAGTAACCTATAGCTAGATGCTCCCATGCTAGACTAAACTATATCGACACAGCCAGTACCCTATATCTAGATGTTCCCATGCTAGACTAAACTGTACGTCGACACAGCCTGTACCCTATATCTAGATGTTCCCATGCTAGACTAAACTGTATGTCGACACAGACAGTACCCTATAGCTAGATGTTCCCATGCTAGACTAAACTGTATGTCGACACAGGCAGTACCTTATAACTAGATGTTCCCTTGCTAGACTAAACTGTATGTCGACACAACCAGTACCCTATAGCTAGATGTTCCCATGCTAGACTAAACTGTATGTCGACACAGACAGTACCCTATAGCTAGATGCTCCCATGCTAGACTAAACTATATCGACACAGCTAGTGCCCTATATCTAGATGTTCCCATGCTAGACTAAACTGTACGTCGACACAGCCTGTACCCTATAGCTAGATGTTCCCATGCTAGACTAAACTGTATGTCGACACAGACAGTACCCTATAGCTAGATGCTCCCATGCTAGACTAAACTGTATGTCGACACAGGCAGTACCTTATAACTGGATGTTCCCTTGCTAGACTAAACTGTATGTCGACACAGGCAGTACCATGCAACTGGATGCTCCCATCCACGACTGAACTAGCGGTCGACTAAACAGGTAGTCTGCATCAGCAAGATGTCCCTAACCTACACTGAGGTGAACTCTGGCTTCGTGTGGTTCCCTGATCCCTACTTGTAAAGTTAACTTATTATCCATCGCCGTCCTCTAGTTGTAATCATCACTACATGTCGAGTTACTTTACTGTCGAGATGGAGCCACAACATCATTCTCTACCACCCGCAACAGCTGTGCACCAACAAAAACCATCACTCCACACCTGTCTCGAACCCACGGTCACGGTGACTTCGCAAAATGTCATTACTGTTAACTAATTTCCACTTCCACCCCACACAAAACACTCCAATGATCAGGCGTTCCTCAAGCGCCAAGGTAACTCCAGGACCTAGTTTCACAACGCTGTTTGTGCGCCTACCTGCATACCTGACATTCCAGACAGGTATCTGTTTCACCTGTGTTGTAATCACCACGAAGAACCAATCATATTGACGACTTCTTCTTGACATTATTGACCTCTCCCTATCCTGCTCGTCATATCTTGACAGTATTGATAAACGCCATCGATGGCAGATTACTACCACGACTCAGTAGTCAAGTAATTATTCAACATGCGCGTGTACAACAGAAAAAAATGACCAGTAATTATGTTCTTCTCCACACTGCAAACGATCCGCGTTTAAATGCACCCACTGCAACGGGTATACTTACATTCAACCTGTGTTTATGGTAAGAAAAGACCACATGACTCCACAGGGCCAGTAGATCGAAATGAGATCTGTCGGTTTACGTGTATTGAAAGGAATGCGCCACGATCGTTCATTACTTGAGTAATGCTGACAGGTTGTTCGTGGGGAATTCCAACTGAATATGTAAGCAGCTTATCAGCATGTGTTGTAAACAAAGGAAAATTCGTAGAAAATATATTTGTTTATGATACCCGTTACCGTGACCAATGCTTCATACGTGGGTAGATAATTACTTTGTCTGTATGTAAATTTGGGTGTTTCATACGTGAGTCACGAGCATGCTTGTATTGTATTTTACGATGTTATTTAAGATTGCTTGTCGTAAAACAGTCATGTTGAATAAGCATAATCGTGAGAACATCTACGTCTGTGGTTGTTACTGTTGCAGCGTCTGAGTTGTGTTTCCAGATGAGTTAACATCAACAGTGTCGTCAACGGCAATTCCCGGCAACACGACCTGATTTGATGACGACACAGCATTGTGTGAATGGGTTAAGTCGACCGTGGAACATGTTATAATAATTCACGATACAGTCACTGGTGTCAAGAAGGGTTGACACAAGGATTACATGCTACAGATTCACTGCACTTAAGCCTGAAGGGTTTTGACACCCGATTGATCCTGCTACCCGACAACGTAACACAGGGCGGCTCAAGTCTACCATCTGACAACACTGGCGTTAAGGGTACAGAGACATCGTCTACTGACGTTTTTGTAAAGGGTGAACTGGCTTGTATACAGACCATTCTATACCACTGAAGCTTGTTTGAGAAGGGTCGAGAGCTGGTGATGTATCTATATATCATTGTGGTCACACATTGTAGGTATTCCACGACTGATTGTTGCTGAACGCTATGTACATAGGAACCCACATGGTGTAACACAAGTTCAAGGATTGTATGTTTGAATAAGTGTTTGTGTTGATTGTAAACCACTGTACCAGATATCTGTACTCTGGTTGTTCTGAAACATCGTCAACATGTTGATCCTACCCGATTCCAAGGACTCATCTGTCACATATATGAGGACTTACATGTAAAGACCTGTGAACATTTGTGCAGACTCCGCCATCTCATTTATTATATTTTTGAAGCATATGCAGCGGCCTTTACCGACCACTTACCGAAAGAAGTTGACATTACAGGTTAACCTTCATCAGATGAAATCTAAATATTTATATCAAAAGGCGTCAGAACTGTTTGTCTTGACCCACGTCCACGGGGTGCCCGGATGTTGTGTCCATAACGTCAGTAGAAAACATTATGGTGGCCAATGTTGGGTATCTTGTAGATTGCGTTTTGTGACGCTCTGCTTCTGGTGCCGACTTTAATATCATCATAAATCAACAGCAACGACTGGCCTGTTAACATCTCCTGGTGTGATGGATACGCCACCTCAGTGGCGAACGTGATTGCAGTGGTGAGCTTGGGACAGGTAAGCCAATATTTCATCATGAAACATATACACAATTATGGGAGAGAAAGGCAGAGAAATAGTTTATTAGTATCTTATTTGATTATTATATATTTTTGTATAAACACATGTCTGCGGTGTTGTGACAGAGTATACCTTCATGCCGCATCATGATGGTCGTGCCGAACAGAGTATAGAGCATTATACACATAAGGTGGTCGATGTTATAGTATATGTTCGGCCTTGTATATGAGAAGACGTATTTGAAACTCACATTACAAGGTCGATTAGCTTTCATTAACGTCAAATTCCTAAACATGAAATTCTGATTTTCCTGTTTGATTATTGTTGCAGTTATTGTATTTGTTTTTAAGTCATCAATGAACGATAATCGAAAGATATTGTTTTTCTGGATTACAAATTTCATATGCATATTGTACTAACTGCACACTTTCAGGGTTAATGGATTGAACAGTGTATCATGCATGAGTAGTCAAGTACGGTTCCTTGTGTTAATTGTTTATTTCTCCTTCTGAACCTTTAAATGTTAGTTTCACACTTGGGTGACAAAAGGCTGGAAGACCTAAAGTAAAGTATCTTTAACTGATGTAAGTTGAGGAAATGACATAAGTGTTATATATATTCAAACCTTTGTATTTCATGCTAAACCCCTTTCTGGTCGATAACCTTCCTACCAGGTCTCGCGTAATCGACACCGAGTAAACGGAAAAATCGAAATAGAAAAATATTTGACATACTTCGATCTTTTGACTCTTAAAAAGTTGTTTAAAGAAACCATATGGTCCTGGAGAAGGAAGTATTGTGCTCAGTGAGTGGACAAGGCTATTATCTTTATAGATGTGACCAGCATAAACTTCTAGTCCAGACTGAATTTTCATTCTGCATATTTGGAGTTCTGCGTTTTGGGAGTTCTGCGTTATGGGAGTGAACCTGATATAAATATTTCCTCCAAAAGGACTGTGAATGCTAATTAAGTAATAACGTAAAATAATAACATCATCTTTGGAACGGTACGGTAGTATTTAACAGTGACGGTACTTATGACGTCTCTCTAAATGACTTCAGATATTATTATCATTGTATTGGCATGTATATATGGGGATGTATATTCACATAATTCGTGTTATTCTTCTTTTTCGGGCAACGAATGCAGCCTCGATAATGTCCTTTATATTTTTGAAGTCTGGATAACCAGGGATACTCTACAACTTATATAGTCTCCCTGGGATAACACATTATCAGCTTAACGAGTTTCTTCACGAAGGACTGTGACCGACTTAAAGAAGCAATCAATTAAAGGGTAGAACTATCAGACTCGTGTACGCTTCATAGAGTTCGGGTACAATGTGTTACTACACGACCGAGTCATCCTGGAGAGACGTTCAAGCAATGAAGTCATGGTATTTATCCTCAAAATTACATCTTTGTGGCTGTATAGACATATAATGTACCCTCTCAATCGATGTTTGTTTCATTAAAGGCTCTACCTTCACCGATTAAGTAGGACTCGGTTGATATATACGTCATGAAAAGACACTCGGGGCGCAACCTCCGTCGTGTACATAGCCACCATCCACCATAATGGCGTGTCATTACATCTCTATGCTTGAAGAAAGCTATTGAAAGTTTAAAGGTTTGCTTTCACACAAAAGCTCAATGTACCGAATAGACATGCAGATGAGTTACAAACACCATAACTCCATTTCTTGCTTTTCTAAGGAGTTAAGTTTAATGTTCTCATGAGTGAAATTTAGATTTTTCAATTCAGCAACTTGAGGAGTGGTGTCTAGTTTATACGTGAACTGACAACGAGTATATGTCAAACACGGACGTCTTGTTACATATGTCGTGTTTGGTGTGACTTGCCATTTCGATAATTTGCTTTTCACATCAGTTAGGCCATTTATTGGTATTTGGAGGGTATTCTCACGGTTTACACCTGTACACGTGGACATATAATCGGGATGGAGAACGGTCCATATTGTTCCGGGCGAATGACTCTGTTATCAAAACATTTCAGACGTAATTAAATTCCGCCGTGCCGCCATCTTACGTTTCAGCCGTTCTTGGACGGTGTCACGTTCTGGGGACGCTAACAATGAAATCTTATTTCACGCCAGTTCGCATACCGCTAGTTACTTGGAGAAATGAGAGTCCCGGCCATAGGTTGTGAGGCGTCAGGTTACACTTAGATATGTATATACGATATTTCAACCGTTAAAATGTTGTTTTTATTAACATAAAGTGTGAAGGCTGTGCCTGAGATCCAAACAGCCTATCACACCTGATAGTATCATGAGAATTTGAGAATATCCCTTTATACCGCAGCTGTTATGGCATCGCGAGAACCTTAGCCTGTGTCATGTTGGCTTCATGGAAGGATTAGTAACAAAGGGGGACTGGTGATGTCGGTGTTATTGTGAATAATGCAGTATGTATGGGGTGCTGGCAATGTTGTCTTGGTGCTCGTGAACAAGGACACTGGCGGTGTTGCCTGTATGTTCGTGAATAAGCAGAACTGACGAAGCTGTATGCATGACAGTGAATAGGGGCACTGACAATATTGTGTGCATGACAATATTCGGAGACACTGACAATATTGTGTGCATGACAATATCGGGGGTACTGACAATACTGTGCATGACAATATCCGGTGACACTGAACATTGGGCACTGACAATATTGTGTGCATGACAATATCCGGGGTACTGACAATATTGTGTGCATGACAATATCGGGGGTACTGACAATACTGTGCATGACAATATCCGGTGACACTGAACATTGGGCACTGACAATATTGTGTGCATGATTGTATCTGGGAACACTGAATATGACAATATTGCTGAGACAATATTGTGTGTATGACAGTATCCGGGAACACTGTATAAAAGGCACTGGCAATGCTGTCGATACGATAGTGAATGTGGGCATTGTCGATGTTATCTGTATTAAAGTGAATAGTGGCACTCACAAGGTTGTCGATATGACAGGGAATATGCTTTGTTGTTAAACACCAAACAAACAAACATTGACGATGTTGTCAACATGACTGTGACTAGAGATACAGTGATGATGTTACCTGTGCGATGTTCAGCTTAGAGCAGTTGCTGATGTTGTCTGTTTGATTACAAGCAATCACTGTATGTCGTTCTTGTCTGACAGTTTTAAAGCAGTTGCTGAAAGAGTGTTGTTTTATACCAGTCATCAGAAATGCTATTGCATGTGAATATAACCCGTGAATATTCAGGCCAGGGCCCAGCTCCATGACGCGATCCCAGCGCTCGTAGCCTGTGTTAAAGTTGGTAGTTGGTAGAACGGGGACCTGGTTAACTCAAACCGGTGGTTGATAGCGTAACAAACTACCTACTGGGGAACGGTGACAACATGACATATTCTATCAAGCCACTTCCCAGATTGAATGACAACTATGGGACCTAATATTCCAAGCGACTCCTATAGGTGGTATTTAGTGAGGATATGTGGCATTATAACAGTAACCCTCGCATCAGTGAGTGAGTATGGTTTTACGCCGCTTTTAGCAATATTCAGCAATATCACGGCAGGGGACACCAGAAACGGACTTCACACATTTGGGGAATCAAACCTGCATCTTCAGCGTGACGAGCGGACACATTAACCACAAGGCCAACCCCTGCCCCAACTCTCACATGAGGGTTAGAAATGAACCGCGACCCTATAGACGCCATGTATCGCTTGCCGTGGGATACTCATTAATATGATGCAAGTAATATCGCCCAAGGTACCCATGTGAACTGTATTACCATTGAATTACTATTTCTTATTTCCTTTCCTTTCACCCTCCATACAAACATGGGTGTATGCATTACTTTCCCTGCCGTCCAGGTAGAAGATGACGCTTAACTGAACATCTTGATCATATCTTGTAGTGATTTCATTCAAGAGATGATTTTTTGATCGAATCCATTCAATTTGAAATGTATAAAGTCAAGAACAATTCATACTTCTAAAGGGTATTTTACCAATGGTGTATGAAGGATCTTAATTGTGACTATAGCACCTCGATACACACCCATTTCTCACGATCATCTAGGATTTTGAGTGAAAACACTTTCACAAGTTTCGGAGTGATCGTGTGGGAAACCGCACCAGCTGATTGTGCCGAGTGTGTTAATAAGCTGGAGGTAGATAGCACCCTTGTTTGATCCCATCCTCCTCAATGGATCGGGTATTGTTAGTTCGTCTTGATAGTCGCAGTGACCTGTTTCTGGGGTCGTAAACACTGCAAGCGGTGTCCCGGCTTGTCGAGGAAGTGACTTAGTTACATGGGAATACCGGCTGGCAGGTGTAGCGAAGGTGAGATATATTTGATAAGGCGGTCTGTTATACATCGCGATATCGCGAAATTAGGCTGTTCAAGTGACCGAGGTCATATGATGAGGACATTTCATGAGGACACCCAGTAAGGGCCTATCTCACTTGGACATCGCATTCTTTAGGTATAATTGCAATACAGTGAAACCTGGATAGTCAGGAAACTCCACATTCGGGACATTTGCTTTGAACATAAATCGTCAATATCCGGTATCTGAAATGAATCCATTGGGTGATAAATTATACTAAAATCAGTGTGACAATTGTATGAATGGATCACTCCATGGGAGTCACTGATGGCACCAGGTATTCACAGAGCAATATGTTTAGGACAGAAAGTGATTCTCAAAATATTCGATCATCTGGGCATTACAGTCATATAGGTAGACTAAGGCTTAGTCTCTGAATATATATAATTTTGATAGTAACAAACAAGCCCATTTATATTGAAAAGGAGCCCTAGGGAGACCAGAGATTGAACCTGAGGAAATCTAGACTTGCTTTATTTAGGGCTTTAGCACTGCAGAGAGGGCTTGGCAGTAGGGAAATTAATGTGGTTCAGGGACTGTGAGACAGACTATCATATAGGTAGCGTCTGGATTAGCGGGCTTCAGTGCACACGAGACTCATACTGTCACCATCCT